GAAAGAGTACTAATCTTTAGCAAATTTGCATCTGATGATGTTACAAAGTTATTGTTTCATTTGTTGATTTGGGCAATCATGCTTTGAAATGCAGAGCCAGGACAGATCAGAAGGAACTCAAGGGGGACCGAGACAAAGAGCAGAAGCTTTAGCCGCCTTGTCATCCGCATTTAATTCCTCATCATCATCCGCAAAGGCACCTCCTCCACCAAGGCCAGCGGGAACGAGTCGGGGATCTCAGAGAGCAGCAGCTGTGGCTGCTCTCTCACAAGTCCTCACCGCAGAATCACAAAAGAAATCACCCGATACCTCTCCTACCCGAAGGTCTACCAGCTCTAATCCGGGGGATACCAGCCCTTCGGGTAAGTTAACAAGCATAGTTTTTTTCCCTCTTTATGAAATGTAAATTATATTGAAAAAGTTAAGGTTTTTACACAGAATGAAACCGAATATATGAATTATGAAATTATCAAAAATATGGATTTCCATGAAGATAGAATAAGAAGCTTCTATGGTAAAAGAAACATGAAACATGACTGAAACATGGATGTTTAGGAGCCCTATGCCGATATAGTAAAAAAGAACCAATCTGCAAGGAATTGATTGGATTGCCATAATGAAATTATTCTGCACTATGAGATGAAATTATTCTGTCACTTTCTCAGTTTTGAAACTTTGGTAACACTGGAAAATGCTTGGATCTACAGCTGAAGCAAAGGAGGAGAAGCCATTCTCAGAAGTGGATGCATCTGAAGAAACAACCGATGCCAAGGAAGAAGAGCAAGTTTCACCCACAACCGAAGCCAGTGCTGAGGAATCAGAGAGTGATTCTTCTGCAAGTGTAGCTATTGGAGCAATCTTCAGCTACGAACAGCTGAGAGCCAAATCCGAAAACCCAGTGACCGGAATCGACTTCAAACGAAGAGAGGTGAGCAAGTTGTCTCTGTTTTTGTTTTTCTTTGTTGAGTTGTGCTTAGAAACCATAACTTGGTAGCTTATTGTCGGTTCTAACGGTAACCACTTCACCAGGCTTATCTGTCTGAAGAAGAGTTCCAGACTGTGTTTGGGATGACAAAAGAAGCATTCACCAAATTGCCCAGGTGGAAGCAAGACTTGCTGAAGAAGAAAATGGACTTGTTCTAAATCCCCCTCACTTTAAAAAAATATATATATTTCAGATGCCATCCTTTTTATCCTTTTCTTCTGCAGTTACCAAAAAAAAAAAAAAAAGAAACAAAATAAGGTGATTTTTCAAAGACATTGAACCTTCTTTTTTTTTTCCCCTTCATGGGTTTAATTCTTCATATTCTTACATCATGATGATGCCTCTTTATAATGATCACAAGACTTGTAGTGTTGGTTTTCTTCTTTTTTTTTCAGACATCTTTGTGATGAAAAGAGTTCTTTCATTTTGTCTCATCAGTGTTTTTGTGATGTAAGAACATTTGTACAACCATGAACTTGTGTATGGGTTTATTTGGATGATGTTGAATTTTTTAAACAATTATTATTATTATTATTATTATTATTATTATTATTATCATTACTGTTATCTTATTTCTCCTCTATTTGGTTAGTGCAACTGGTCCATTTAGTATATGATATGCTATTAGAAGCAAGATAATAAATAATGCATTAGATTTGGAAGAAGAAAAAACAATTCACAGCAATGTATTTAAAAAAAATATATTTTTATTTAAAAAAAACACAGGGGAGAGAATATTTTCATGAGTCCGGGCAGAGTACACATGGCAATCAGCATAAGATTGTCAGACAACTAATGTCTACCTCCACGTGGACATGATCAGAGTACACCTCAGCATGTATCGGAGACAAACCTCAGAAATGACGAAACTACCCTCGTCCCCGTCCTAGCCGTTGCAGCCGCTTTTCACCTTCCCGTTAAAACAGGGGACCAACCAGAGGTCGTAAATTTTTTCTTTGACGTCGTGTGGATTACGTACAGGTCCAAAATCACAGTATTCTACTGCGAGTTACGCCGATTTAATCTCTCTCTCTCTCTCCTTCTTCTACTGGTGTTTGGTGTGCGCGAGTGCAGTTTTTCTCCGTCCTAGGGTTTGGATTTTTCTGTTTGGGAGAGGGGGCGGGAGAGAGGTTGTGATCATGGCGTCGATTTCATCGCTGGATCCCGGACCAAAGGCGGAGGTTGGATGCAGCGGCGGCGGTGGAGGAGAGAGCTCGGAGACGGTGGGGGCGAACGACGAGATGATGCTGTACAGAGGTTTTAAGAAGGCGAAGAAGGAGAGAGGATGCACCGCCAAAGAGCGTATCAGTAAGATGCCTCCTTGTACCGCCGGCAAACGCAGCTCCATATACCGAGGAGTCACCAGGTAGTAATAATTCCGACAATTGTCCATTTTCCTCGTCCGTATCCGTACCCGTATCTGTGTATGGGTTGGAGAATTTTCTGGAACCGACCCATCATCGATCCAATTTCAAGTTGATCATCCATCACCTTTTTGATCTTCGAGTTAACAGACATTTGGTTTCTGCCATGTTTGATTTTGATAAGTGTTCCGTTCTGTCTTGTCGGAACCCAGACATAGGTGGACGGGCCGTTATGAGGCACACCTCTGGGACAAAAGTACATGGAACCAAAACCAGAACAAGAAGGGAAAACAAGGTTTGCTCCCTCTCAGCCTTCGTACACAGAATGTAAAAAACTTTCTTCCATGACTGACCTGACCCTCTTCTTTTCCATGGCTTGATGCGAAAAATCTCCCGCGCCAAGTTTATCTAGGTAAGCTATGAAAGAGATTCATACGTATCCGCGTATCCAAACACGATTGTATAACTTTTGACTGAAGGAATCATCAAAACCATATTCTCACAGGAGCATATGATGAGGAAGAGGCTGCTGCCAGAGCTTACGACCTCGCCGCCTTAAAGTATTGGGGGGCCGCCACACTTATAAATTTTCCGGTACATTCTTGACTCGTTTTCGTTCCCGGGAATCGAAAATTCATCTCCGGACGTGAATAACTCGTTAGCCAGACCTCGTTCAGCACCCCCATCTGTTGTGCTCATAGTAATTTCGAATCTGGCTGGTAGGTGAGTGATTATACGAGGGATCTTGAAGAAATGCAGAATGTCTCGCGAGAAGAATACCTCGCATCTCTCCGTAGGTATGTATGTATGTATGTATCAATATATATAATTATGCACTATTTTGTTTTTCACCGTTTATTTCCGGTACCATCTGTGCATCCTCCGGCAGAAAAAGCAGTGTTTTTTCAAGGGGAACAGCAAAACATCGCGGGATTCCAAGGTACGTTCAGACTAACTAGGTGTGGCCATTTTGAGTTCCATCCGGATATTTCAGTTATTGAAAAATTATAACCATTCGATTTTTATATCAATTTTGATTCGATTCGGACCAGATTTGAGTTTTTATTGATAAAAAAAACTCATTTTTCAAAAAAAATCATCAATTTTTTGAATACTTTTTTATTCGATTGGATTTGAATTCGGTTTTCCGGTTTTTTAAGTTTAGAGAATTCGCAACCATTTGGTTATCGAACTTTGTTATTTTGCTCGACACATGACAGGCCTATCCTCCGCCTACTTACACATGTTTCAGTTGTAACTCGTAACCGTCTTTGTAATTTTGTAAATATCACGTCTTGTTTGTCCTTTCGGAGTCTTTGGCTTTTGATAACTAAAACCCGACTTCTGTGCCATTTTTGAACTCCTCCGAAATTTTCCAAACCAGCCGGTGGGATGCATCAGCCAGCCGTATGCATCGGCCCGAATACTTCAGTAACGTTCATTATGGTGAGTCCCGAAAGTTTTCTTACGTTGCAGTATTTCCGATACAAAGGCTTCTTGTAATAATATATCGGATGCTTTAACTCTAGTTATTTGCAGGAGTAGACGATGAACGGGTGACGGAAGGTGACTTTCCAGGTAGCTTTTGTCTGGAAAGAAAGATCGATATGACGGGATACATCAAGTGGTGGGGGGTCAAGAAAACCCGTCAAACGGAAGATACAAAGCTCGAAGACATCGGTCGCGAGCTTAAGACACTAGAACCGGCGTCTCTGACAACTGAACCCTACAAGGAGCCGAGCTTGGGCGTCCCATGCGAGAAGAGGAAAGAGAGAGCATCATCATCATCATCAACATCACCATCATCGTCATCAGCCCTGAGCATATTGTCCCAGTCGCCGGCCTACAAGAATCTGCAGGAGAAGATTAAAGAAAACGATGAGAACACAGACCAGAAGAATATCGTGCAAAGGGATAAGAGTTATGGAAAGGCGATGGAGAAGAAACCAGTAGTCAGCCATGGAAGCTCTGGGCTGTGCCCTATTACCTCTATCCTCTCTGCTCCATTGCTCACAAACTGCAGCCCGTTGGATCCACTTGCAGACGCTGCTGTTACATGGACACCTTTCGTTCCTTCTCTCCTTCCGAGAGGATCCTCTCATACTTCAGAGGTTCGTGTTTACTTGTCTCTTACTTGCTCAGTAATCCATTTTATTGTTTTCCTTTTCTTTTGTTTTTATAGTATAGGAATTCATACTCACTATCCTTCAAGTTTTTATATGGTAGAATCCGAAATTTTGAGTACCCACCCGACTTATGAATAGGATATCCGAAATTTCGGACATTTGTCCACACGTGGGACAAATATGGGTCCATCGACAGTGAGAACCTGTCTTTCGGGTTCGGGTTTCAACCGGGGAATACCTGTACCTTCAGGTAACCTGAGCCGTGGTGTAAAGGGAGCGAGAGCGAGGGGGTGAGGGAGACAACGGTTCAAAATCAGAAGATTAGGCCTTAACGGGTTTTTCAATCAGAAGCCTAGGACATTTGTCTTTCCTCACCTTGCCCTCCTAGATAGTCGTCCCCTTGCCTCGGCCTCTGCCTCTGGCCTAAACCCTCTCTGCACCCTGTGGGTATCTGAAGTTTGGGTAACCGACGCTTATGAGACTGAGATCGAATATTCCAACCAAAAAATCCGAGGGGACCAGAGACGGCTACACCGACAAACTCGGATGGTTGGCTCGTGTGACCTATCTCAACCAAAAACAAAAACAATGCAATTAGGACACTAGATGCCACGTATTTTGCAAGAAGATAATGATAATTTCTTCTGGCTATTTAGCACTTAACATAGTAGTGGTGATCTTGTAGGTGACAAAGACAGAGACGAGTTGTTCAACTTACAGTTACCTTCCACCAGATAAGTGAAGAGAGGACTCATCTTCGTCTGTTTGCTGGTCAGAGACATTGAAGATGGCATTGGCATATGTCAGAGAAGTGATCTTCTCATACGAAGTGGTAAGTGGTAACCCATGTAATGTGATGAATCATACAAGTATGTTTTTCAGTTTAATGTACAGGCTTTCAGAATCCATTACATGTTACGAGATGGTCTCAAATTCTGAAATTTATTCGTCTGCAGAGATCTGAGATGGGCAATGCTACGAAGAGTTACTGTCAACATCCAAAGATGACTGAATTATGTGTATATATATATATATATTCAGATTACCTGATCAGAGATCAGATTTTGCTCAATAAACTTTCTTGTGCATGAGCTCTTATTTAACTCTTACCTCTCCCATGGTTGGTGTTGGTACTGGTTATGCATTTCCTCCTGGGCCGCTTAGTGTTTTGCTTATGCAGGACTGTGTCAGGATAGAACCATCTTCATTACAAAAACCCGGGTTTAGTTAGGGAAAAAGATCGAGAAGGCCAGGTAATCCACCCGAACATAATGAACATCCGATGAGTCCTTTAACTCGTAGCTGGGTTTGTCGATAGAGTTTCGTCGGAAGGATCTTGAATTCTTCCCTCGTCCAAGTGCTTCCGGTGGAGGGCCAAAAAGTACAGCACAAATGCGTTCTTCATCCACCTTTCACCGACCCTGTTTGATGGATCTTTCAGTACACGATTCCTCGCTAAGAACTTATACATTTTGATGCAATCCCTAAGAATCCATGCAGTACTTTGTACTTGTATTCCACACAAGAAGAACAAAAGGATAAAACTTTGAGTTAAGATTAAGAAAAGATAGAACCTGACAGAGCTTCTGCTGTGGGCATTAATTCCTGGTTGCAGGATTCGAAATGGCGGGTCCATTTCTACAAACCATACAAAAAAAAAATACAGAAGTTTCGGAAACTAAACCAGAGAAACCTAAACGGGTCATTCACTCGTAAACCTATGAAAGCACAGACTTACATTGAGGATATTAGGGTTTGCCAAATTGAGAGCGATAACACTCCGCTTAGCCGAAAGCTGAGGCTGCAGGCCCTCGTTCGCCGACGGCAGAGGAATCTACCAAACAAACAAAAAATCAGCATCATCGCTCAAGAACATGGATGATACACAGAAATCGGAAGTCTATGCAAAAGACAACAGGGAATTCAGAGTGTGTACGGACACGAGCGTCAAGCGGCTTCGATAACGAGGTCTGAGAGCTTGAGGTCGTTTAGAATGGCGGCCATGTGACCGGGAAACCAGTTGCTGATCCGCATATTATGCGAAGCTCATGCCGCCGAGCAACCCCTTCACCGGCGACCAGAGACTTTTCAAATTAAATTATTCAACCCAAATATAAAAAATATATATATATTTACATGATTGGGTTGGGCCTAATATTTATTGTTGGGTCTATAAAATATTTAGGATAAAATTCATAAAAAAAATTAAAATTTATAAAATTATAAAAATTAATTTCTAACTTTATTTTTAAATTTGTAAATATGTCATTATAATTTTTAAATTTATTAATTGATTAAAAAAATTGACGACATTAATCTATAAATTAGTTTGGAAATTATGATGATATATTTTACAAATTTAAAAATTATAATTATATATTTTATAAGTTTTAAAATAATTTATTAAGCGAAAAATTTTAAAATTAGTTTTTCATTATATTGTAAGACTACTAAGTTGAGGAATTTTTTTATGTGTTTTATCCAAATATCTAATGGCATTTATTGTTACAAAAGTATTCGAATACCTCTCATTTGGGGAAATTAGCTCATAACACACGTGAGGTGTTGACGTGACTAGAGTATATCAAATATGCTCTAATTAATGGTTTGAAAAAAAAATGTGTTCCTTGATTTATATATATATATATATGTATAGAGTCATACGAGGAAACTGTCTTTTATAAACATAACTAGGTAATAACCCGCGCGCAACGCGCGGTTTAAAAATACATATATAATTTTAAATCATTTTATTATTTATTTCCAAAATTTAAATATAATTTATTTTGTTTTTGAATTTATAATTCAAATTCTTAAATTAATATAAATAATCTTTTTTCAAAATGTGGAGATAACGGAATGGTTAATAGATTATGAATATCCTCTATCTTTTATGTTATTTCATATTATTTTCCACCAAATACTTAACAATTTCTTCGATTTTTGTCAAATCCATTTCAGATTTATCATAAATATAAATAAAGAATTTGGATTCTTATATATAATTACTGAAACTTGCTTTTGAAATTAGAATGTTCTTCATTTCCTTTTGTTTTTTAGGCTTTATTTTGATAGTAAAAAATGTATTCTTGGCCTCTTATAATAGAAAGAGAAAAAAATATATATCAAATGCAATTACAGAATTAACTAAATAAATATATATTTTCCATAAATAAAAAAGAGGTTACTATTTTATATTTTTTTTCAAAGATGTTACAATTCCAATTGACCAAAACGATATTCTTTTATGTTTTCTTTCTTTCTCATAAAAGTCTCAACTCCCAACCCAACTCAAAAAAAATTTACCTTTAGGATTCTAGCATATACAAATAATCATTAAAATCAATTTTCAAATATTATGAGAGTTATGAAAAGTATTATATTAGATAATTATATATATATATATATAAGGGATTCATATCATTATATTTCCACATATACCATTTTTAGACTCTTGACAATATATATGTATTTACATAAATATACTCGTTTTGGTCAATTGGAATACGGTTGGACCCGTCTTTTACTTACAATATACAAATTCAAAATGTGGTTCGATAAGTCTCTGAAAGGCCTTCAAAATAAAAATCCAGTGGAATTTAAGGAAATCTTACCTGACCAAACTGATATTTCATATTATTTTCCACCAAATTCTTAACAATTTCTTCGATTTTTGTCAAATCCATTTCAGATTTATCATAAGTATAAATAAAGAATTTGGATTCTTATATATAATTACTGAAACTTGCTTTTGAAATTAGAATGTTCTTCATTTCCTTTTGTTTTTGCAATATATAACATATTCAAGAAAAAAAGCTTGAGATTAGGCTTTATTTTGATAGTAAAAAATGCGTTCTTGGCCTCTTATAATAGAAAGAGAAAAAAATATATATCAAGTGCAATTACAGACTTAACTAAATAAATATATATTTTCCATAAATAAAAAAGAGGTTACTATTTTATATTTTTTTTCAAAGACGATGTTACAATTCCAATTGACCAAAACGATATTCTTTTATGTTTTTTTTCTTTCTCATAAAAGTCTCAACTCCCAACCCAACTCAAAAAAAATTTACCTTTAGGATTCTAGCATATACAAATAATCATTAAAATCAATTTTCAAATATTATGAGAGTTATGAAAAGTATTATATTAGATAATTATATATATATATATATAAGGGATTCATATCATTATATTTTCACATATACCATTTTTAGACTCTTGACAATATATATGTATTTACATAAATATACTCGTAATAACCTGTATAAATATTGTAATCTATAAATACAATAGTACAATTTTTTTTTTGTATATTTCGAAAATAATTATGTATGTATATTTCTAATAAATTAGTTAATAGTGAGAATGAATTACGTTTTGGGAATTTCTCTACATTAAATCATTAAATAAAGAAATATATTAAAATACATTTAATGCAAAAAGATGGGACACATGTTACTCCCATATGAATCCACTGTACTTTTATATATATAGATAGATTAGTAATTCGGCAATTACTGTATTTATATATTGCGGTTCCTATATGGAAAACAAATAAATAATAGTTTTGGTTAAAACGTCTTGCATTCCATTTCCACCAAAATAGAGTTTGCGTTTATCTTAAGCATAGCATAACTACTAGCTGAAACCACAGATGTTAAAGCCATGTATTAAAAATATAAGTTAATATAGCTGAGTATTATTATCTTCCCCCCCCCCCCCTGATTTTTCCGCATTCGGATTTTTAGTATTTCACAAAAGCAATACCATCTTCGCGAAATGTCAAATAATTGTATATCTGTTTCTGCGTCTTCTTCCTCCTCCTGCCACTACAAAAGGCTACAGAAAAACCCTAACAAGAGAGAGAGGGAGAGAGAGAGAGAGAGAGAGAGAGAGAGAGAGAATCAATCAGAAGCAGCTTGGCTCCAGGAGGTTTCGCAGACCGATTCGATCTTAGGTGTCTTTCTCTTCCG